CTCTTTTATCAGCTGCTCCCTATTTGGCTTTTATTGCACTATTAGTTTTTCTTTTCTCTTTCATACGAATCCCATCAATCCCTTGACCCCACTACTCCATAGACGTCTCTACCTCAGATAGAACTGTGATTGTTCTCATCCAAAGGTTTTACTGGACTCTTTTTGGACTGTTCTTTTTATATATATATATAATTATTTTTATTGTTCTCTCTATGATTATATGTCATTGTTTATTTCTATATTACTACTTGCTTATATTTCATTTTTATATATTATCTCTGTGGCGCCACCTTTCTCTCCTTCCTCACACCTAAAACCATTTTTGTGTATGTGTATATAAGAATGTGTGGAGCTATATGGAAACAGAAATAGAAAGATGTATCCTATCTCACAGGAGACTGGAGCTACCTGGCAGTGCTGACATTATTTCGCCCTGTTGTGAAGTAGAAAACTCAGGACTATGTACAAAGCAAGATGTACAGGAAAAAATAAAGGCAGAAGACATCTTAAAGGGACACTGTAGGTACCCAGACCACTTCGGCTCATTAAAGTGGTCTGGGTGCAATGTCCCATGTCCCTTAACCCTACAGTGGTAATTATTGCAGTTTCTGAGAAACTGTAATAATTACCTCTGAGGGTTAACTCCTCCTAGTGGCTGTCTACCAAACAGAGGGAGTTCCGGAATTGAAACGGACCATTGGTCCGTTATCTGAAGCTGGACGTCCTCACGCTCTGCATGAGGACCTCCGGTGTCAGATTTTCCTACGGGGAAATTCTATTGCAAGCCCAGCCATTGGCGCACATGCGCATTAAGTCTCCCGTGCCGGCTGATATCGGCGAGGGAGGAGGGTGGGCAGAGTCTGACCCAGCGCAGAGGGACATCAGTGCTGGATTCAGGAAAGTGACTTAAGGGATTTTAACCCCTTTAGCACCGCGAAAGAGGGGACGTGAGGGAGGGGGAACTGCAGGAGTCTATAGAGCCAGGAAAACAGGTTTGTTTTCCTGGCACTATAGAATCCCTTTAATTAGCTCTTCTTCAATTTTCAAATATCTGGTACTCTGTTGGAATGCTGCAAAATTGTATTTTCCGCCTATTTTTACCTGATAAAGTAGATTTTATTTTGGTACAAAATATTGAAACAGGTACACTTTAAAAAAATAAAAATATTTCCTGTGGGAAGTGAAAGTTCCACTTTTTCATACTTCTCTTCTTGTTTTGCCAACACATGGTCATAGGCTAATCTCTGAATTGTAAAAAGTAAAATCCAAATCGCTATAGTTGATTGAGAATTTTTCCACTTTGGCAATTTTAGCGTCAGTTTTAGAGTTTGGTGTTTAAGGAATAAAGCCCTTAGTATAACAATATAACTAACTAAACATCCAAATGAATGATAACCTGTGAATAAGCAAAATTACATGGAAAAGGTGTGTGCCTGTATCGGTGAAAGTGCAAAAGGAAGTTCTATATTTTCACTCGGAGCATGCAACATCCCTAAAAAGCAGATCTGAAAAGGTTCGACACGCACTGATTGTATAGTGCAGGGGTAGTCAACCTTTTTCTTCCTACCGCCCGCTAATGCATCTCTCTTGATGGAAAAATGTCCTTACCGCCCACCAGTTTTTGCGCAAGTGCAGAATATTTTTTAGAAACGAGGGCGTTTTAAAATAAAATAAATGTACGTACATTTATCTTTTTATTTCTACTTAATGCATGTTTATAATGTTTTTCACTTTATAAAGTTTAATGAGAAAACAATAAAGTAAATTGAAAACACGACATACATACAAAGACACATACACACACATACAGACACACACAAGACATACATACAAAGACACACACACACACACACACAAACACACACACATTATATTTAAATAACCCTCCTGTTTCCTACCTTTAAGGTGCAGGAGGGGGTCCAGTGGTGGCTCAGGTGGATGGGAGTCAGAGTTCCCACTTCCTCCCAGCTCTGTGATGTAATCACAGGGGGCCTGGTTGCGCTGTTAAAAGCACCCAGCGCTGACCGGGCCCCCTCACAATACACATCCATCGGGTGGCCCTGACAGCATGGGCCACCTGATGAACCCCTTGGACGGCGGCCCCGGATTGTCGCCTGGGCCGGGGCCACAGATGGTGATGGCGGTACACGGTCACAGGGGTACCACCGGCACGCACCCGCCCGCCCACCCACCCAATCTCTACAAATGAGGAAATCCCTACCGCCCATCTGGAATCCTGAAATGCCTACTACTGGGCGGTAGGGACCAGGTTGACTACCCATGGTATAGTGTATCAGTTATTGTTTGTCTCTAGGAAGATACTTAATGAACTGAAGCTGTAGACATGATACAATTTGTTCTTTGCTTTTCAAATGATCACAATCTGTTAAATGTTTCAAATGATTTATCTACAAAAATTAATCTACAAAAAAGACCTTAAAGCGGCACTGTCATGCCGAACTTACCTTTCCTCAATCACTTCCTCTTCTCCCCCTCTCTCAGGATCTGTTCTTCATTTCTTCCTGTCTTCTTTAGTTTTCTTTAAAATCATAAGACAAAGTAGGGACTCTTTGCCTTATGGAGGATTCCTCCGCTTGACCAGCTCTGACCAGCGGAGGAGCAAAGTGTGCTTCATTTCCGCTGGTCAGAGCAATTTTCCCATGATCCCTAGCTTTCCTCAGTGTTCCCACAATGCTTCCTGTCATTTTACATGAAACTGCCGAATTGCGTTCTAACTGAATGACAACAGTATGTTCGTTTCTTTTAGAACGCAATTCGGCATTTTATTCGGATCGGAATTTCATTCTAATGAATGAAACTCTGATCCTATTCATTGCTGTGGCTGCATTTTGCAGCCGCTTAGTAGATAACTCCCTAATTCCCACGGTATCAGGGAGCTATCTACTAAAAGGCTGAAAGACCTAAATTGGTCTAACAGCCAACTTTACTAATACTAAGTAAAGATTACTTAGTATTAGTAAATAATATGCCCCTACTCGCTATATCGCGAGTAGGGGCATGTGTAGTAAGCAGTAAGCAGCTTATAGCTGCTCACTGTAAAAAAAAATAAATAAAAAAAACTAATAAACTCCCCCCCCCCATGCCCGTGGGGGCCCTAAATAAAGATGGGGGGAACCTACTGGCCCCCACCCCTGCGCGGTGGGTGGGTGGGGGCCCTAATAAAACAATAAGGGGGGGACCTACTGTCCTCCCCTGTCCTTCCCCCCCCCGGCCCCCACCCCTGCGCGGTGGGTGGGGGCCCTAGTAAAACAATAAGGGGGAGGGGCCTACTGTCCTCCCCCCCCTGGCCCTCACCCCTGAGCGGTGGGTGGGGGCCCCAATAAAACAATAAGGGGGGGACCTACTGTCCTCCCCCCCCGGCCCCCACCCCTGAGCGGTGGGTGGGGGCCCCAATAAAACAATAAGGGGGGGGGGACCTGCTGTCCTCCCC